ATATATATACACATATATACATACATACATATAATTATTAGCAATCTGGTTTTGTCTCCCTGTCTAACACAATATGGTTAAAAAACACCTTATCATAATAGGGAAAATAAATAATAAGGGTTCTTGGGGACTAGGGTCGGGGAAGGAGGAGGTAAAGGGGAGCTGATACTGAGTTCAAGAAGAAAACGTTTTGAAACTGATTGTGGTAGCAACTGTACAATATTGCTTGATGTGACCAAACTATGGGATGCTATATCTGTAAGAGCTCCCAATAAGTTGATTAAAAAGTTCAAAAAAATAAAAACAAAAACAAAGCAAACAAACATAAAAAATTAGGTCAATTTAGAAATGATTTAAAGTACTCGGTTGCCAACCAAAAGTCAGTGGCTCAAACCCACCAAGCGCTTGGCTCAACAAAGCTGTAGCAATCTGCTTCAGTAAAGATTTGCAGCCTTGAAAATTCTATGGGACAGTTTGACTGTATATACTCGAGTATAAGCCAACCTGAATATCACCCAAAGTACCTACTTTTACCACAAAACCTGCATTAAAAATGTGTGGAAAAACTCAGCTTACACACAAGTATACATGGGAGTCTGTCCTATAGGGTCGCAGTAGCCTCCACAGCAGTGGGTTAGAAATGTTTGTCTAAATCAAGCCCTTGGGGATGCTAACAATTCAGATTCACTAAATTCTTTTTTTCTTTTTTTTTATTCTTAAGCATAGAGGTTCAGACTGCAAAACAGTATATAAAGGTTGGTTATGTGAACAATTTTTCAGTGAGATTTTGCTTTTTCCTTTAGGAGCAACAATCTAGAAAGGTCATTTCTTTTGTCCTCTCTAAGGCTATGCATGAGGAGAAAGAATTTCTAAATCACTCTTAAAGTCTAGAAGTCACCCCTATATGGCTTCAGATGAACTAGGAAGGCCATTTTCCTGCTTGACGCTCACTTTGGTTGGGCCTAGACTTTTGTTTCTTGGCCCCTGAACTCTGCAAGGCAAGGAAAACAGAAACTCAACTGATTTGGCAAATACCTGCAAGCCATAGGCAGCTTCAGTACTCCACTTACTCACTGTGCGCTTCCAATTTATGTTTGGCCTAAGTATTAGTTACTTTTTGCTGATAGATACATCGATGTATTTCAGATTTTCTCAAGCATTTCAGATTGTTTGCTGTAGAAAGGCTCGTCTGGGTACTAGGAAGTACTACTACGCTGCTGGGAAGAGATGTTTCTTGTGGCAAGATCACTCATAGCATGGATTCTTGTTTTCTTGTGTCTCAGCACACTTGAGAGATTTGATACACTTCCACCAGGAAGAGTGGCTCATTATGACAGATTCCCGACTGGAAGTAGGTAGACATCAAAAGGTTAAAAAGTCAGAAGATAAAAATAAAAACTTTATGTTCCTTCAACTACGGAAACATCCCCTTTTTGCTTATTTGTGGTTAATAGTTGAAAATCAAGAATAAGGAACCTCCTGATAAGCTAGAATGTATCATAGTATGAAACACTAAAGTGTCAGAAGTACATTTAAGTATATGTATTTAAGAATTTTTTTTTTAACATTTTATTAGGGGCTCATACAACTGT